GCCAAGGCAAATTTTTCTTCGAGTGTTGCGTTATTAGTCCTTTGTAGATTTTTTGTGATGACTTTTAGCTACACCGTCAATTGTTCGTATTTCCTATTAATTTTCTATCTTCTCAACGATGTTCATTTATATATATATATATATATATATATATATATATATATATATATATATATATATATATATATATATATATATATATACCGTACCGTACTAAACTTATTTGAATTCAAAGGATATCGGGTAGCGGTCCGTGGTAAACACTTCGAACACTTCGAGTGTTCGAAGTGTTTTCGGAGCGCGAGCATTGAAGATGCCAAGTGAGATTTTGGCGAAACGTCTGCAGGATTCCAGTCGGAGTTCAACGAGCGAACGGATGATATCCCGGAATATAATGTTATGTTATGTTATATTTTTCCATCCGTGAATCAATACGTGAGAATATATATATATATATATATATATATATATATATATATATATATATATATATATATATATATATATATATATATATATATATATATATATATATATATATAATTTGGCTATTTCATCATTCGACACCAACTTTTTTATTTGTTCGTTTTTTAATTTATATTTTCTGTGAATTTTTAAATAATCTATATCAACATAGAAATTAGTATCTCCTCATTGTGATTAAAACCCTATTATATTTATTTACATATTTTTGGCAACAGTGGTAAATATTTTTGACACCTTGTTTCTGGAACATAGAATAAAATTGAATTAAAATTTGTCTAGTTTAAAATTCGACAAGGGTACGGATCATTAACGTAAACTTTATATTAACATACGGTTTTATCTTAATTTTTCAAGAGATTCATTTAAAATATTCAAAAAACAGAATCCTCTATCAGAACCGGTAAAAATAATACCTATTGCATTCGACATAAAAATTATATAACTAATCCGATGAAAATATTTCTTATTATATTCGTTTGAAAATAGAGCACAACTTATACAGATAAAATCGAGCTCTCACTGTTAAAAAGAGAAGCAATGGGATCGCACGAAAACCTTTTCTCGTTACTTACGGTAAATTTGAATTTAAAATGTTTTACTGTCCGTGAAAATTTCTCGTTTATTTCCTCTTTATCTTTCGTATATAGAGAGACTCCGTCGTACGTCATTATTGCCCTCCGATGTCATGAAAATTGTTCTGTCGTTTAGTTTTCTGTCTGTAAGTATTAGGTTTCGGAAAATGTAGTTATCTTCCGATACTTCAGTAGCGCGTCTACGCCAAAAGAAACACGAAAAATATGAAAATATGAACTTTAACGATCCTTCGGAATTCGTAAAAAAGTTATTTAAAGTAGCTGGGTGGACAAAAATATATTTTTTTTCTATCGTATGTGTTAGTTCCTTACAGAAAATGAAAAAAAAAAACAGGAAAAATTTAAGAATTGGAGAAAAGGAAAGACAATTTCCCTCAGGTTTCACTGCCTCTATTGCGAAAATATAGAATAATAACATATTTTGAAAAAATATAAAATATTAATGCATGAGTTTATCGCTATTCACAAATCTTATTTTTGCTTTGCTTTGATTACGTTTCACTTCTTCGGAGCTAAACTGAAACTGGCTCGTATTCTACTTTGTGCTAGGTTATATACTGTTTGAGAGAGCGGAGCTAAATTAAGAGTATATGAAATGACTGACTTACTGACTCGCGGTTAAGACTGTTGAGTAGTGGTATACAGATTTCTATGGATTCTCGGAGTTTTCTTTAGTTGAAAAATCGATTACATCCAATAATTGTCGTTTGGCCGAATAAGATTTGATATCTCGCTTCATCCCTTAGTCTTAGGGACCTTTCATGTTCTTTTAGTCTAGTTTATATTTTTCGTCGTGTTTCTCCAATGTATTCTTTGCCACATATGCATGGAATAGGCAAACTGGTATCTTAAACGGAATTTTGTCTTTAATGGATCAAAGGCACATGGTAAATCTGGTTTTAACATTATATTAATTAAAAACTTTTGATATGTGGTCAGTTATGTTTGTAATGTAAGGAAGGACAACAGCGGCAAGTGTGGGGTTGCTTTCGGACTTATTGACTTTGGAAAGTTGTGGTGAAGTGAATTTTGCGATGGAACGCTCAATATCTTTAATGTGGAAATTATTAGAGGGAATAACAGAATGACCCAATTTTTAGTCTGATTTCCTATAAATAAGAATTGAAGATCATTATTAATTTCTAAATCAATGGTAAAAATGGCAAAGATAATCTCGGAGGGATTTTTCGCCATAATCTCAAATAATAAAATTATCATCAACGTAGCGTTTCCATAATTTTCCTGAAATTTTCCCATCAATTTAAACTATACAAAAAAAATATATTCCATGCAAGCATTTTTCAATTAGGATGAGGTTTGATTCCAGATTCTCGGATATCTGAATATTGAAAGTTTCAGGAATAAGGACTTTTGTAAAATGGAACTCTACGTCGAAACTAACCAGAATATCGTTTGGATCTAATGCAATGGTTTTTAATTGTCCAATTAAATGGAAGGAGTTAAGTTCCAAACTATCAGAAAAAATCATAAATTTATCCATTTTAAGAGATGCAACCACGCATGCATGAGTTATAAAATCAAGTGTTGAAACTGACGAGGTCAATAGCAGTCAGGTCTGACGCCAAACGTTTTTATAAAATCGAATGTTTTTCAGAATGTATACGAAAAAAATTAAAAAACCTAATGGAAATTGCTAACTTTGAATTTTGATCTATTAAATCAGTCGGTAAGAGTTTTTTGTAAGTCAAAATAAATGAGAACTAAAAGTTCAGATTTTCACGAAATTATATATTATGACGTGACAATTGTTTCGACAACACCGTGTCTTTATCATCACATCACATTTGATAAAGACACGGTGTTGTCGAAACAATTGTCATGTCATAATATATAATTTCGTGAAAATCTGAACTTTTAAATCTTATTTATTTTGATAAATGGATTTTTATAAAGTAAAAATCACCTCAGTTCAATTTTTTGTAAGTACGTTTTTGTGGATATTTTTTGTTCTTAAAAGAATAGCCGACTATACTTGGTACAGGTGATTTAAAAAATATATTAAAAAATGTGACAACTAAGCTGTTAACCATAAAGTGTTTTAATTAAAAAAAATTCAAAAACTAAGCAAACGGTATTTTGAGTATTACAATAAACTAGTTGTGTTTTAATCAGTTCTAGCGGCTTAATTATTTATAATTAGGTAACCATATTCTTTTACATCTTTTACTTTAAACATTTTTGTAAACATTATCTAAAAAGTTTTCAGCGTTTTAGATTTCGGGAAGGTCACCTTAATTGTTTAAGCCCTTTTGAACACAAAACACATACAAGCACGAGTGAATGAACTGATTGTGAAAGGGATAAGTAGTTACAGCGGCAACCGTAGCTAAATAGAGGAGGTTATATGACAGCAAGAGCAAAGGCGAATGTAATATGGCCATACTTAGTGAAATAGTGGTGTTAGTGTTCTTGTGAATGTAGCTAATAAATGTAAGCTTGAAAAATGCAAGTAATATTGTAGTTTGATAGTAATGCTAAGTTGGTTTACAACTTATATTTTTCATGTACGCAAATATATGTTTTTGTCTTCGGCTTGGAAAATTACGAATTTTATTTCAGATAATAGCATCACAAACATATAATAGAGACCAATTGATACCGTCGACTGGCCCAGTCTAGGTTAGAATTAATTTATTGAACCAGTGCGTGGCACAGTAATACACAAATGATGACGTCCTATCCGAGCTACGAATTTTTAACGCATGGTTATGGTTATAACAGATGCATGAGAGAAACTTAATAAAAATTAAAATTATTTCTTATATTTATGTTAAATGTATTACAATTTAAACTTAGGTTTTTAGGTATTAAATTATAATATTTTATGGCGTTATACGAAAAACTTTTCCGAAACATGGCACTCCGATGATGAAGCATTGTTAAAAATTCCCTAGGCTCAACATTCCTGTTATGTATTTCGCACCTAAATACTATTCGTTCCCGGATCGCGGACGGAGTATCGGGATCGTTTATAGTCTTTATCAAAAAAGTACAGAAATGAAGTCTTCTACGAGAGTTCATCCTCAATCTGTTTATCATATTTTCTTAAGCCATACGCAAAGCTCACACATTGGTTTTGAATTTTTTGAATTCTACATCCACTTTCATTATCTAAACAAAAACCACATACAAAATTACAATAATTAAAATTTGTCTATTGCTGTATAATATTTTTAATGCCGTAGATGCCCTTTGAAATATACTTTTTAAAAGTTCTTTAAATTTTAGCTTGGTATCTAAACAAATGCCCAAGTTTTTAACATTATTAATGAAGTTCAGCCATCAATCTAAAGAATTTTTACTGCATCTACAAAAGGTAATAATGAAGATTTTGCAGGGTTTAATTTAAGATTATGGTTTTTGGACAGTTCACTCAAAGTTCGTAAATCACGATTAATGTTTTGTTCTACCTCAAAACAATAATAAACTTGTGTATCGTCTGCAAACGCTTAAATGTTACAGAAAGTTAATGATTTTAGAATGTCCGAAGCATACACAATAAATAACAGAATACCTAAAATTGACCCCTGTGGGACCCCCGAGAGTCTTTGTGCCTGGTTCAAAAATTGGTCACTTGAGGATATTATTTGCTTTCTGTTATTCAGATATGATGACATAAGAGTAAACGATTCATTAGAAAATCCATAATATTTTAGTTGTTCAGTTTTTGGGATGTGGATACTAACTTTACTTTCAAAATTGGTAAACGACTGGATTTTGTATTGGCTTTCACAACAGTTATTCCATAATTTTCGTGATGTGTGTTGTTTTTATTTATTTTGAGCAAAAACTGCGTCTATAAAAGTATGTACTTATCTCGACTTTAACAATTCGTCAGAGCCCAATATTTATATCTGCCGATAGAATATATTCAGACATATAAAATAGGATAGGACTTACGTTGTGATACCAGTAATAGCTATGGGCTGTAGGTCGCGCTCGTGTCTCGCATCTCAGGATAACGTCACTTCCTTCCCGGACAGGGGACATATTGCTCGAATCCATGCTTACGGCAACCTTGGGAGGATCTGGAAATACGTTCCAAATTATTGGATTTTTATCGTCGAATATTCGGCAGTGTTTTACGTGATAGAGGCGGTTTTATAAAACATTTAGAATTATTCTAATTGGCGAGAAAGCTTGATAATCCATTATTATTCATGTGTCATTAGCTGTCAAACAAAAAATATAAGTAAATATATAAAAATTTCTTTCCAAAATTCAAATAAGGTTAATCACTAGTCTACTTGTAGGCAAAATTCCGCACTAAGACGAGGAGGTTTTAGAAATTTTAGATAAATTTCCGGTTGGGATAACAGCTGATTCATTCACCTATCATGTCAAACCAGACGTACCCATTAAAATTTTTTAAAAAATCCAGAAAGCTGTTAACTCCAAATGATGCACCATTTCAGCGACATCCTACTTGCCAGTTTTTTTTTTATTTATAGAAGGGTGCATGTTTTTTAAAAGATCAAGACAATTATCTCTAAGCTGTAGAAAAGGAAACTTAGGTTATAAATGTTTATATTTACATGCAAGAAAATAAGCCAGACTATAAAGAGCTTATTTTAATAATTAGAAGTTATCATTTATTTTATTACTTTTTACAAAACTTCTGGATTCCCCCTGCGTCTGTTTTTGCTGAGTCGAACTTGCTGACGTTTCGGCAATCATCCTGTTGGCTTCTTCAGAGCTTGACTGAGACTGGAAGGAAACTGGAGGAATCCAGAAGTTTTGTAAAAAGTATCACAATAGCCTGTGGAAGTTTTTTTCAAAAATTTATTTTAATATTAAGGCAATTAAAAACTAGCACTGAACTATTCTAGCTCATAACAATCCGATACTTCGATATTAGTTAGTAATCTAATTAGTGTATAAATTAATGGATTGCCCTAAGATGTAAAAAAAGATAAATGCGTTGGTCGGTCGGTCTTGGACTGTAGAGCAATTAAAGCAATGTTTATCTGGTATAACAGAGTCATGAAAAGTAAACAATCACCAAATTAAATATTTTAGTATCCTGTACCTATACTTTTTCGTCATTGCTTTACTATTTAGGAGTATAATATGTAATATGTAATAAAAAACACAAGTGAATTAAATATTATTAATTTATACGATGTAAGATGATAAATAATACAATATAAATAAAACTACCAAGTTTGACAGCCTATTATACTCTTTTCAGTGACCTCTTGGGTTTCTCAAAATAATCTTAGTTCTTGTTTTCAATATTGTTGAAGTAAATATTTGTGGAGACACTGTGGGTAATGCCTGGAAATCGGAGTCTGTTTGTTAATGTATTGGAGATATAACACCAAGGCAGAATAACTTTAGATTTTCCCGCAACGGTAGCTTTCAATAAACTGAGCGTATGAAATTTTATTAGGCCGTGTAGAGCGTAAGAGTAACACGAATGATAAAATATGAACAAAAAATGTCCCTTACCTCTCGAGACAAATAAATCGAGTGATGGATATACATATTGTATAAGACAAATTTTTCGATAGACACCCAGGAGAATTTTCGCTCGTATTGAAAATGCTTTTGATTCCTACAACGTAGTAGATTTTTTCTTGGCTGTGCCCGGGACCGATCCACCATTGATAGAATATTAATCTGACTTGATTGAAAGCCAAAAATTAGTTTTGCCTGCATTATCCAGGAAATACCGAAAAACGGTCATTAAACAAACAGGGGTCATTTTTTTTTTCTTTTAGCATCCTGTAAGTATTTTGTCATTATTGATGCCCTATTGCAATCTAAAATTTTACCAGCTGAACAAAAAAGTATGAGCCCCAAATCTCAAAGAAAAATTATCTACAGCTTATTGGTACAAAAATACTGAGATTTAATTTATAATAACCGCTGCAATTTTGGATTTTTCTATTCAACATCATTTTGGGTGAGATCAGTAATAGTATTCAAAAATAGAGTCATTTGGAATATTAAACGAAGTAATTTAGAGGACAAATCACTCTGTATTTCAGGAACCAGCCGGAATTTGGTAACTCCTTAAAAATCTTTAAAAGGTATCAGAAACAGTATATTATGCAACAAGTGCGGTAAACGGCAACGAGTTTTTAATAAACGAGTGAGTTAAAAAGTTTACCGAAGGTGTTGCATATTATACTTTTTCTACTACCGTTAGTTTTTGGGTACATTTTCGCAAAACAACACGAATACATTCTCTGACATGACCGTCAGAATTGACAAACGTCAAAATTGAAAGCGTGCGAAATATACCCGAAAACATCCGATTGCTCTCAAATCCGTGCGGTAAATTCCCGGAAATGTCCGAAATGGCTCAGATTCATGTGAAACGAAACTGACTTGGTAAAGTGGCACTTTTTTCTACTCCCGTCTGTAAAATGCCTAATTACACAACGATCTAGCGTGCGGGAAGCGCCACTTTACACCGGGTTGTTTCGTTTCCCACGGATCCGAACCACATCGGACATTTCCGGGATTATACCGCATTTTACCGGAATTTTCCCGCAAGGTTTGGGAGTAATCGGATTTGTTCGGAGATATTTCCCACGCCTTAAATTTTGACGTTTGTCCATTCTGACAGTCTTTTCAGTGAATGTATTCGTGTTGTTTTGTGAAAACGTACCCAAAAACTAACGGTCTTAGAAAAAGTATAGTATGCAACACGTTTGGTAAACTTTTTAAGTCTCAAGTTTATTAAACAATCGCTCCGCTGGGCTCCGCTCGTGTCTAATAAACTCGTGAGTGCAATGCACCCAAAAACCAGCGGTCGTAGAGAAAGTATAGTATGCAATACGTTCGGCAAACTCGTGAGTCAAATGCCGTTTACTGTTGTTCACCATTAAATTAGATTTGGTTATCCCTCTTTATTTTTTTTAATAAAGAAAAAAGTAGAGCGCGTAGAAAATCTTACTTCTTTAATATCATGATGAAAGATCATTCAATTTGTCTAAGTACCTATGGATACGTGTGAATTGAACATTTGTGTGGTTATTAATTGACAGACTTCGTAATACACTGCGCCAAAATTATGTATGACTTATAATTTTAATTTTATTTATTAATTCAGATTAGATACTGGGTATGTTTATTTTTTATTATATAGTGTTTCTTTCAAGAAATCTGTCCCAAAGCAGAGTTGAAAATAGCAATTTTTTAAATGTTCATGCTTGAAGTACCTAACTATACAATTAACTAAATTGGACATAGTCACATGTTACAAAAGAAAACTGTAAGGAATGTTCCGACGTGTATTTTTAACATATTATATTCCCAGTTTTATTTTGACTCCAAATTAACCATACTCCTTATATTTATCTTTTCAGACCGCCGTCAGACTCGTTATAAAACGCGTTGCCACACTTATCCGTGACTCAATTTCCTCTCATTTAGGCTCCCAAAGGTATATATTTCTCAGATATACAATTTATGTTTTCGCCCTCACCCCACGCGAATGTATTCAAAATTGAAGTTTCTTTTGCCTTTTGAAACCGACGTACCTCAGTATTTAAAATTTGCATTCCTACCCTCTTTTCCCGTCACCAACCGTTATAATATCAGAGATATATCATTGTATGGAGATGTTCATTGTTTGCTTTCGTTTCGAGCTTGATCCCTACTCACGCACGGCTATTTTCTTCAATTTTTAAAATAAATATTAAGAAATTACAGCATTTTGTGTTAAAAATAAAAACTTTGGGTACACTTTTAGGTTTATGAAAAGACAAAATAGCCGTCGGTGACATTTAACCGGATGTATTAAAAATGTAGCCGAGTTTTAAATCCTTTAAATTCTTAAAAAAAAAGGAATTCAAGTTATGTAAGAGAATTTTAGATGGTAACAGAAGATCACATTTTAATTTAAAAATAAATAATAAATAATAGAGCCAATTATATTCCAAAATAATTATTCGTAAATTACTCAAGAGCGTGCGATGGATACTATTTTTTTAGTGGGTGCATGATGTATTTCGCACCCTAAATTTTCAATTCATTGACATTTCTTGTGTCAAATAGAACATTTAACAGCCTATATGGGCACTTATTTGCTGCATCTGACTACGCGCGGAATTACATTTGCATCTGCGCATAACATTTCAACACTTTCAAATTTCATTTCGTCTCCTTGCCGACTCCTGTCGGCCTTCTTTGAACTTGCGACAAACGGATCCATATTATGGACTATTAAAATATTTTAAAGGTAATTTTGTATTGGGTTATCTATTTGAAAAAGTTATATATTTTGAAATATTCGCAATACAATTACCACTATGACTACGAAACATGGCGAAAAAAAAAACAATAAATAATCGAGCACTTCAGAAACGTCACCAATTTGGGTTGTTTTATGGCAATATTTTAATATAAAAAATGATCTCAAGTCTAAACGTTTTTTTCAACAAAACTAAAAAATTAAGAAAATATTAAAATCAAATAAAATAAATTAAAATGAAAGTTTGTCATTTGAGACATTCAGAAAAAATATATTAAAATCGGACCCTAATGGTCCTAAAATTTTGAAATATTTCTATTATTCTTTTAAAACAGTATCTTTAAGGTTCTTCGGCCTAAAATTTTACGGCAAATATTTGTTTTTAATAAAATTCGATTCATATTTAGAAATAAAACAAGTTTAAAATCTTTCCTGTTATATATATTTCTAAAAATAAAATATTTCGACGATTAATTACCGCTTATTATTTTAGCAATGAAAAAATGCAATTTCAAATTCCATAACTTTTTAAATAGAAAACCTTGTTCAAATTCATCATTTTTTATAAGCCAGATATGATACCATTATAGAAATTGGGTTCTATCTGAGAAAATGACTCTTAACGATTTTTTCATTCAAATTTTGAGTTTCAGTTATTGACGACTTTGTATTTATTTATATGTATTTATGTATATTATTATATACTATCATGAGAAAATCAATACAAACATAACAAATTGATTTAGACCCGCAGAATTGACTTTTATTTTTGGATAATTTTTGCGATTTGAAAAAATTTCTGCCAACATATTTTAAACTGTC